TGTGTGTGTGTGTTGTGTGCGTTTATTTGTGTGTGTGTTTGTGTGTGTGTATGTGTGTGAGTTTGTGAGTGTATGTGTTTGTGATTGTGTGTTATTGTGTGTGATGTGTGTGTGTGTTTGTCTGTGCATGTGTCTGTGTGTATGTGTGTTTGTTTGTGTATGTGTGTGGGTTTGAGTGTGTATGTGTGTATATGTGTGTGTTTGCGTGTGTGTGTTTGTTGGTGTGTTTATATGAGTATGTTAGTGTATGTTTGTGTATGTTTGTGTATGTGTATGTTTGTGTGTTTGTATATGTGTGTGTGTTTGTGTGTGTATATGTGTGTGTTTGTGTGTGTGTGTGTGTGTGTGTTTTTTTTTAATGAACATTTATGTTACCTTTCGGCCTCCATTCTCTTTCAAACAAAATCCTTCTCATTATGTCTGTCTCTCTCACTTCTTTGGTCTCTTCTTTTTCTCACCCCCCCCCCCTCTCTCTCTCTCTCTCTCTCTCTCTCTCTCTCTCTTGTCTCTCCCATCATCATCATCACCAGTACATCATCAACATATCAACATTCTCCTCAGTAGTTGTAAAGCCTCCCTTGGAAAAACATGAGTATGATAACACTCGACACTGTCGGTAAAAGAGTGACAAGTTGATTGATTGATTGAGTAGGTGTTTTACAGCACAATCGACTCAATTGAGGTCCTACTGTAAGTGCCAAGACAAGCACAGTGCTACATTATCAATTGTCCTCCGTGCCTGGAATTGACATTATTTCTTGTTTGTTGTGTGTATGGAATTGACATTATTTATTATTTGTCATGGGTATGGAATTGACATTATTTATTGTTTGTCATGCACGCATTGACATTATGTACAGGGGCGAAGGCTGACTTGTTTGACAGGGTAATCAAAGTGAAACGGGATCAGATATGGCCTGTAGATATCACACAAGAATCTTACTCGAGGCGGCGACTCTTGAGTTGTGAATGAAAACAAATCCGGAATTCATATTGTATGTTCAACCGCCAAAATAATCGGGAAAGTATCTTATTAAATATCAGTTCCAAATAAAATTAAATTTAACTTTAGATGTGAATACATAAACACAAAGCAAAGAAACAGAGATATCAGTACTAGATCTATATGTTATAGATCTACCAGTAAGTCTAACTCTTTGGTAGAACATGACAATTCTCATTTTTTAAATTTCACATTTGGCTGTTTTTGTTAGCCTTTCGCGGCCAGGAGCTGGTGTCATAATCGAGGTCACGATCTGATTATAGAACGGTAAAAAGTCGAGGAAAAAAAAAAGCATTTGCAGCAGTCAAGAGATTATTAAAAGTTAGTTCCCCTCACATTTGTGAGGTAGACTCGACCAGTGTTAGTTAGTTTACGTAATCAGGGCTTGTGATTGCTTATAAATGTGGCCCCAAGGGGGTGAACATGGTATATGTGGCAATGAAACAGTTTTGACTGCTATGCACATGTTCCCTTCAACTCTAGTGGTAGACTCTTCCAGCCTCACTATTAAGCTTACTTAATCAAAGCTTACGACTGCTTATGGAATGGCCCGAGAGGGGTGAGCAGGCTATTTCTGTGGCCGTGAAACCGTTTTTAATGTTAGGCATACTGTTTATTGTTGATTATGAACGTCTTTTTACATTTAATTTATGAGGTTTACGTTTATGGGTGAATTTGACAGCGACAAT